GAAGTAGAGCAAACGAGGCTTGCAATATCGTAATTTATGTCTCGCAGTGAATCAAAAAGACTCAAATAATAAGTGCTTCTGTTAAAAAACAAAACATAAATCTTAATAGCCTACATCTAACGTTTTGTAAACATTCATACCAAACTACTAAACTGACCAAATCTTCCCTGATGTTTCAGTTTTGAAACTCGCCACTGAGAAGTAGAGCAAACGAGGCTTGCAATATCGTAATTTATGTCTCGCAGTGAATCAAACTAGTGGTAAAATTTACGTGGTGTGAAATATAAATCACGCTACAGTGGGTGAGCGGCCAAACAGCCGAGCGGCCGGGCGGGGAAAGGCTATGGACAAAACGTCTTGGGACAGAGTGGATAAACTGAAAAACACGTCACACGTCAGAGATTGGCTGGACCATCGATGTATAATAACTCCCTGTAGAGTAGGCCTATAAACATCGATGGGCTAACTACTACTACTGTATTTCAACACCCACCACACACATACACCACACGTAGCACCAATTTGAACCGAATAGAAGCATGAGTTGTGGCTGAGTGGTTATGGTGCTCGTCTCAGTCAACAGCTCGCCGGTTCCATTCCAGGGAAGTTTGTTATGGTTCCAGCTGTCTTCGACCATTGGGCTTTTGATAGTTTTGGCTTAAGAAACAGCTGATCGCTGTCAGTAAAAAGGGCACACATGACACATATTACTTACTAGCTGTAACCCGCGGGCTTTGCCCCGTTTAACTTCTTAATTTTCAAGATTATCTCGTTCGCATGGCTCAATCACGTCCTGGTTGAAGTTTGTTCGCTACGCTCACTCACCTTTAGGTTGGAGCTCGTTCGCTGCGCTTACTTGCCTTCAGGTTAACTCGTTCGCTACGCTAACTCGCCTCCAGGTTGAAGTTCGTTCGCTACGCTCACTCACCTTTTGGTTGCAAATTAGCTGTTGTCATAAATATAAAAGAAATAATAGTGCTGCACCCTGTTGGTAATCCTTGTAACTTTAATGCTATTGAACATCATAGAACAGAACCAACTTGTTTAATTGAAACAGCTGTTAAGATTCAATAATTCCATTTCTCATAAGGTTAACATGGGAAACTCCAAGGCCACTGGGGCGGAGCCCGAAAGGATTTTTGAAATAAGAATATGCCTATATGTTAATCGGGAATGTGAGCTATCATCATGCCAAATTTCAGCCCAATCCGACCAGTATTTTTCGCATTCACTTGTCACAAACATACATCCATACATCCATACATCCATAGATCCAAACTTTCTCATTTATAATATTAGTAGGATAGTAGGATCACTTTTTTATTTAGGCCTAACTTAAAATACGCAAGTAGATGCGGCGTTTGCGTTGCTGTCTCAAACATAGTGGTAACGGAGTAACATTTTGTGACGTAAGTTAAATAATGGAAATCAGGTTTAAGTTTCAAAATCGTACAAAGCGCTGAAATTTTAGTAGCCTACATGAGAACAGCTACCGATTTGGATGATAAAATCCCAACGCACTAACCTTTTAGGCCGCAACCACAAAGTGACTAAAATTATTCATAAACTTGTAAATTTGTTCCTGTGAGACCCACGAAGTAGCCTAATAATATGTTTTCAAGTTAAATAACAACAACATTAAATTAACGATATTTTTAGCGGAAAAAACTATGCATGATTAAATTAATTTTTATGAATGTTAAGATGGTTTAATTAGCATCAACATCCATTAAGAAACAAATTTCTGTAACATCGATTTTTGTATGGTAAAATAATTATGCCAAGAGTCGTATTCTATCAACCTTTAGGATTAAAAATAACTCGACTATTTCGGATGGGTTGACTAATCAGGATTACCCAGGTTGATTACGGATACAGCTGGCGTGTAAACCGTTGAGCCATCACGAATGATCGATTGACATTGACTATAAACTCTAGTAGCTGACTATAGTAATGACTACAGGGATGACTAGTGAATTTTACTAGTAGAATTCAGTTTTAAATATATAATCCCACAGTTTCCTAGTACAGTACAGAAGTTTTGAAGCAGGCTAGGTGTTAGTTCCAAAAACAAATCTCGAGTGTTTCATAGCAATTGAAATATTTTAGAATATCTTTTCCTCAAACTTATCGCAGTTCAAGTCACAAGTGGCAAGATAGCTAAACCTTGATAATGAAGAGGATTGCCACCAAGTCACATTATCTTTATGAACAGGCTACGTCGTTATCATTCTCCAAAAACACCATCACACCATTGTTTTTATGGGACTAATCAAATCGAAGAAACGTTTAGAATTGAATTTGTGGTTATTTCAGGAGTTTTTTTGCCATTGCTTGTAAAAATAATGATCAAACCACTGGTTTTTAGTTGTTGGAAGTTCTCCGATCCAGAGATGGATTTCATTGCCTGAGAATTCTGTTAGACTATTTATTGTTGTCCAGTGTGGACTCTAGAGCTAAAGATGGCCACGAACCATGTCACGGCCATGTCATAACGAGGTTAAAATCCATTTATGTGTAGCTGGATTTTAACCCAAGTTCTCATGTCAGCAATTTCGCGCTATAGACCAGCCGTTCCTCTTCAACATGACAACGGACACATACAACTGACCTCAGGTCCAATGTCAATCCGTGGAAAATAGTCTATTGGCAAATTGTATTCATTGGAATATAAGCATTTCTACAATACCACAGTCTGTAATTTGATTGGTTAAAATCATTTGCTGTGTCACTGGTTCTCCAGCTCCGTATTTATGAGTTCCTTCAAGAAGACGCCAAAAATCACGACAACATTATAAACAGTGGTGCAATTATAAGAAGCCACGTCATGTGGATAGCCCAGACAGTGTGGATCCCCGGTTAGTGAACACTAAACACTGCCAGATGGGACATCTCCCGTGGGATAACAGTCGTAGCGAGTGTAGTGTATAATAACACCAGCCATCCCTACACATGTGGGGAGCCCCTAAATATAATTTGTAAAAAACGTCGAGCCTCTCCGAGCCCCGCTCTTGGAGCGGACTGTACATTCTTGTCTCCCCCTCTCCCTCCCCCTACCTGTTGTCGGTCTGGATTTGTCTCGTCCACAGGTGGGTCTTTACAATACCGACCCTACGACCCTCAGTCCTCACCTGATCTGATCCCCCGGGCATTCCCACCCTCGACCTGTCTCTAGTACCGCCACCCTCCGCATGGAGCATCTCCACATCTCACAACGTGCTGACTGCTCTGTACTGTACAGTGGATATAGCAGGAGACTAACTTGGACTGAATAGCTATGGGAAAACATCACTTAGTTTTGAAAAACCTCTGTACCTACGAAATAGATTTATTTAAGCTTGTGATATGTGTTTATGTATGTGTGTGTAGCTTGTGTTATTTATTGATTGGACTTAAGGAGAGGAGTCTTCAAAATACAGAAAGGCCTTTCATTTGATAACATTACTGTTACATATAAATAAAGTTTAAGAGGTATAATGTACTCATTGCCCTCATCAACAAGTCCAGCGCGTTTGACTCTAGACCACAGAAATAAACGTACAGACTCTCATTATGGTAAAATATGTCACTGCAAAGTGTTTCATGATAATCGATAACTAATTAAATCGTGCATTCATTACACAATTATGCAGATTCCGACCGAACAAGTAAGAACGTCAACGTTTGGAGAAGGCCTATTTAATAACACCAGCGACTGAATGTATACTTGTCTCGAAGGTACAGTGAAGTCGAAAATATCTGAAGTGACGAAAGTATTTCTTTTCACGCGTAAAAAAAAATACAATAGGCTACAAAATAAGGCTAAGCGAGAAGCTTGAAAAGAGAAAAAGCGTTGGTTATTTCCTACAAGTTTAACATATTATCACTACCAAAGACTTTTTTTACTAGTAAATACTAGTAAGGACTTTCCTGATCACAACAAACATGCGATTACAGAATATGTGATATCACAATCCGCTGAAATGATTGCTCAAACGTAGCATATGTAATCTTTGCTCAAACTCATACTTTAAAATAGCAAACAGGATAAACTAGGTACACTTGAGCGAACCAAATTAAGTCCAAAGTCGTGATTTTACTTAAATCGAAGCCGACACTTACAATTTTTCTTGACATCGTTAAGTACACAGTATTACAAACAGGACTATAAAAACTATCAATTTTCTACTGGATCTTTCTATTAACCCAGACATATAACACAACATCAATGACAGTCATTTTATCAGCGCCAAGGGTTATCTGCACAAGATGTCCGTTTTTGCACTGCAGAGTGAACTAATTATTTTGTAAACAGCGCCATTACAGTTTTTACTTTATTAATTTAGCTTTATCTGACAGCTGCTATAAATTGCAAAAACTGTTGGAAGATTTTCAATCCCATATTCATTTCATCGACATTTTGACATAGGACGAAATGAACAAAGTCCTCGAACAACTAAAAGCAGCACACCATAACTTGCGTACATTCCGTTAAGTTATCTTGTTTAATTTGTTCAGTACCTACCTACCTACTGTACAAAGAAAACCGACTGCGGCATATTTCCGAAGAATGAGAACTCGTTACCGTAAAAGTTTTTGTATTAAAACTTTGTGTTTTTTGAACGGCCATCTTCCGGTGTTTGTGGCGTGAAAAATCGTTAAATTGATAGATTACTCAACACCAGAAGAGGAAAATCTAAAATGGTAGGTGTGATAGCCAAAGGCTTGAATTAGGAAATCATAAACAAATTAGTCGTTACAGGTTGGTTGTGATTAACAACACAACATGACGTCATGTTATATTATAGGGCACTTTTAAATCATGGGGAGCAGGATTACAATTTCTAGGTTTTGTATAAGTAATAAAAATATGCTGAAAACCTATACCTGCCAAATTAAGGTGTAATATTCATTACCGTACTTATTTTTGCTTTTTGTAAGCAATTGTAAAAATGAAGTTTTGTACAAGACCGATAACGAGTACACGTAAAATTCTCAAATCAGCAGAATATTAAACCTACCTTTTGTAATGATATGAGCAGGCACCCGCAAATCCAAATAAGTATTGCACAGAATGAATCACAAATTCCAAGTGAAGCACCACAAAATACAGAAGTCACGGCACCAGAATTATCACTTAGTTGGGGCAAATAGAAACAACACTTCACTTCAGGAAAAATAAAAAGGTACTAGTCCGTTTACAGAACATTTTTGCCATTGAGGGTGGTCGGATGGTGGAAAATAGCGATAAAACCCCGTACAACAATGGGCCTAACCTAAAAGTGCGGAACAGTCCTGTTGGCCGGCTAGTAAACACTCGCCTCAACAGCTGAGTTCCTCTCACTGACAGAGGTTAGTTGCGACGACGGCCGCCGCTGCTGCCGCGCAGTACTTCGCAGCGCCACCGTCGCGCGGCGGATGTCCGCTTCTCCCTCCCCCGCCCCCTCCAAGCGATATAGCAGGAAGCCCCGCGCTCCTACATAGACATAATCAGAATCTGTTCTGTACACTCCGGGCCAAAAGTTTCTGCCTAATGAAGCGTCTGATGGCAGATTGTTCCCACAATGAGTTGGCCAACAGACACAGAGGTAGTACCGTGCGCCAGTTCTTGTGTGAATCTGCGCCTACAGTATACAGGTTGTTATAACATCAATTATGTAATTGCCCGGCGCGCAACCCAGTGCCGGTATTGTTACAAAACCGGGACTCAGGGCTCGTTTCGTAGCCCCGTTTTTAATTAATTTCAGCACGATTACACACGACTATTGCAGTCGAATGCGGGATACGGGCGCTTCCTCGTTTTGCGAAATCGAGATCAGTTTTGGCTGGTTTTCAGTATTTCACACTTATTAGATTGGTCTAAACAACATTGAAGATGTTATTTCTTAAAAGTAGTGTTATACATTTTAATATATTAATCGCTGTATAGCCTGGAAGGATTTGTATCGCTTGTTACAATAATATATTCAAAACTGCGAAATGCATGTTACTAATTCATAAGTGATTTTTACGACATTACTAAATACTTTAACCCCAAAACGACAAAATATTTAATTTAAAAACAAAAAGGTGCATTTCACTGAGTTCCGGATAATTAGCAAGTAATTTTTACTAGAGGTGATTTTTACGACATTACTAACTACTTTAACCCCAAAACGACAAAATATTTAATTTAAAAACAAAAAGGCGCATTTCACTGAGTTCCGGAAGAATTCAAATTGTTATAGGTATTAATCATAATTTCATACCGCACTTATAGGATAACGGTTTTTACGTTATTTGTAATATATTTAATATTTGCCCTCCTTTAGAAAAATACAACTCTTTGAGAATCTACAGCTTTTTAATTTAGTTAGTTTAGAAATATGCATCACCAACTTCTATGAAAATCGCTTAATCTGAAAAAAAAACCATCGGTGTATACGGATATACTGATACAGTCTATTTAAGGTCGTTCGAAAATGAAAAACATGCAATCTCAAGTCCTTATTTAATTAGTGATCATTCTAATTCAAATACAAAACAATTCTGTTCAGTATTCATCAAAAAACGTTTGCAATCGCAGACGCTGCTGTCAAGTATTTATCACATAGATAACACTTGTACACGCGAATAATAGTTTCAAGTACCTGATTTTTATGTAACACGGATTAAATTGAGGAAATTTTAGGAAAAATTGAGACAAACAAGTAGTCTACAATGGCGTCGGTTGAAGAGTCTACGCAAAAACTATCCGTTGATAACTTTGATAGCATAATTTAGTTTCAATGAAATGAAATGAAATGCTTTATTTCCGTGAACATAATACATGTATGGAAAAAGTCAAATAAACTAATACTAAGAGTACTTAAAAGTGCACCAATTAAATGATTTGTTTGTTCCTTCAACACTCCATGCATAGAAAATAAAATGACACCACTTTGCAGAGCCAATAAAATAAATCGTACTTTCAAGTTGTCATGAAGTTAAAAAAAAAACTCATGGATTGAGTAAAGCGGGTTAACCAATAGAAACTCCCTCACCCTCTTTTTGAATTTAGGGATTGGCAGGTTCAGAACTGTACAAGGCAATTCGTTCATTAATTTCAAGCTTAAGATTTCCTTACTAGCCTGGGTTTTCTTTGGTCTAACATAAGCTATGTTAATGGCCAACGTTTGGATATTATTTTTTACATTATTTGTTTTTTATTTGTTTTAACTTTATTAAAATCAATTCTTTTCTTGTAATAAAAGAGTTTAGCCCCGGTCTTATCTGTGACTAAAATTGATGGCCAAATAATAATCGTAAACTGGACCTAAAATCACAAACATTGTATATCAAAGATTGGACTGTAGCCTATATGTATCACATGAGCGGAGTTAAATTTGTTTACGAGTCTCTGTGGTCCTGTAGTTAGTACAAACAGTTCAGTACAGTATTTAGTCCCGATTGCTTTTTTACACTGTAATATGCCTCCATTATTGTATATGTTTTAGTTCGAAAACCGAACATAAGATACAATGTTTTCAGTTTTTTTCCAGAGGAAGGCATCGTTTTTTCATGTTCTAGAGGGCTGAAAACCCACTGTGGCTGTTGTAGGACTATGTCATCTTTAGCCTGGAAAAGATAAGGTGGGGAATTCGTCAAAAGGGATTTGTATTCCATTACACAGTTACTCTTTCATTCATTAATTGGATGACGGACAATTGGAAATACATTATCACCAAAAGATGCTCACAATGACTCCGATTGTATATCCAGTGGTACACCATACAAATTGTACCAATATCACAGCTGTATGGACCGGCAGTTGCTACTATATTTATCAAAGCTTAGTTAGATGAGATTCGGCAGATACTCATAGTCTCATGAACTAATACATTGCAACTTGACACTGTGTTTTTTTCTATTATTTTTTGTTAGGTATTATCCTAACAAAAAATAATAGAAAAAGGAAGTACAAGTGAAACCCCATTTTGAACTATGACATCTCTTAATTTCATTAATATAATTAATAATTAATGAAATTAAGAGATGTCATAGTTCAAAATGGGGTTTCACTTGTCCTTTAAGTTGACTTGGTTAAAAATGTAATGAAAACAACAAAATATGTATTTGACACATTTTTCACCAGGTTATTGTATTTAATTTTAAATTATCTATATACATAGGATTTAAGTTCATAGTCAAGGGTCGAAGTCACACAATGACTGGGCTAATGGGCATAAAAATCTATTGAATGGGAAATTTATCATCCTTTAGTTCTAGTTTCTAGTTGATAAGTTTTGTATTTAGTGAAAATAATATTTTAAAGCATAGAATTAATTAATTAATCTATATATTAATAGGCAAGAATGTTTCTGTAATACCTTTTTTCTAAGCTCGTGTGCATCGCAGGGAAAATCTACGCATACCTTTAGAAAGATAGTTTCCTGTAGAAGTGCAGAATCCCTTTAAAAATGAAAAGAGGCTCGAATATAAGCACAAAAAAATGAATTCGATTTTTTTTTATTTAACATGGGCTTTATGGGTTGCCATGCTGGTGACTAATTAACAAAGAAATGTAAACAGAAAATCAAAACAAATGGAAGAAATTCCAATCACATGTTTTATTTACAGTGTGGGGTGAAAATAGAGAAGCCTGTACCTTTACATTCCATCCACATGTTAAAGTTGTCACCAGTTTTTTTTTTTTTTAATATGTCGTATTTGATGTGAGCCTAAATTTGATGACTAAATTTCTGTCGAATACACGATTGTTTTTACCAAGTCAAACTGTTTGAATGAGATATAGCAACTGTTATGACCCATCAACTTTGTCAGCAACAAAATATAAAGTAGAAAATTAAATTTAAGACACGCTTTCGGTGAATGGCTCACACAACTACATGTAAAAAAAAAAAAATAATAAATGTGACCGCTGGTCCATATGGATGGGAAGTCTACCTCAGTATCCAATATTTAATACGTGTACATTACATGTTTTTGGTCGAGTTTTCGACCACTGGACGACCACTAGTATTAATTTATAATATTGTTTTACGGTTTACTGAAATATATACAGTAACCAAAATGATATATTCGATTCGTTTTTATCAACTTAATCTCCAACAGGATTATGATAAAATATTCAAAAACAAATTAAACAGTGCCACATGAAGCTCCGCATTATTATACTTAACTGATAGTTCATGTGCGGCGGTTTATTTAGGTTATATTGAAAACACAGGCTCGCGTTGTTCACATACTTAAGCACGAAAGAGTACTGCATTATAATGAAGAAGAAAAGGTTAAAAAATAGGTTCAAGTATAAAAATTCTTCAGCAAGCCTGAATATTATAGCATAGAGAAAAGAAAAGACTGTAAACGACGGTTAAAATACTTAAACACAGAAGAGTACTGCAGTTTGAAGAAAGAAGACGCTCTCGCAGCGACCCGCCAAACCCCTATGAAAAGAACACTTAGTTAATCAAGCAGTTGAATAGAATTGCGCAAGTAGGTTGACCGGAAGCTGGTAGTTTTGTCATTTCCGTTATATTGTGATGACGTCAAGATCGGCAAACTACTGACTTCCTTGTAGTAGCGACGACAGTAGCCACCCACCGTCGTGACTGTATGGTCTACCTAGTATACCACCAATCCACCATGAACTGTGGAGTGTGGCGACGGCACCGGGGTGGAGCAACAGAAACACAAGAAGGGTGGAATCATCACCTTGATAGGAATACTCCCAAAGATTTCGACCCGTAGAAAAGATGCAGACGAAGAACTATAGATATCTACGGCTAACCTGAACTTCATCTCTTCTCGTTCAAATTTCTTCCATACAGTATTTGGAAGTGGTTTGGATGGACAGCTAAGGTGATTCGGCAATAACTACAAATCCTAGTTAGACAAATATTGGTCTAAGCCATCCTAAATAGATACTGCGATTCTCGAGGGATTAGAAGTTACAACAACGGTTGGATGGATATAGGAATAAAACGATAAGATAAGGGATAGTTGAAGGATAGCTAAGAAAGCAGAGAAAAGCAATATTAAGAAGACATGTGCAAAGGATGCACCAAAACAGAGAATTCATAGGAAAATCAAGTTTGAGGTGAAAGAGGAAAGGGAGCCGGGAGGAAGACCTAATGGAGGTGGATGGATGACATGAAGAGATTGTTAAGATAGCTGATGCTGTTAGAGGAAGTATGAAAAGATAAGGGACCTAGAGGAACTATTAAAAGATAAGGGACCACAGGAACTATGAAAATATAAGGGGCCTAGAGGAACTATGAAAAGATAAGGGACCTAGAGGAACTATGAAAAGATAAGGGACCTAGAGGAACTATGAAAAGATAAGGGGCCTAGAGGAACTATGAAAAGATAAGGGGCCTAGAGGAACTATGAAA